TAGTAGAAAAGTATATAGATAAAGTTTGTTTAGCAAAGGATTTAGACTATGTGTGTATCAGTGCAATTAGCGAACGATGCTGTTATTAACGTGATACAGTATATGTTAAAAACCCAAAACTCTTAAAAATATAGGTATGGTAAGATGTTGAATATCAAGAAAGAAAGGAAAGAAAAGCTAAAGGCGATGGTAAGATTATGCATCTAATTCAAATGAATTATCGTGTCAGTAAGTGAGAAAATATTGTAAGACATAATGACAAAAGTCTGTATGCGTTGATGTAAGTCGCATTTATAAATATTTCTGTTATATTGTCGAAAAAAATGCATGTGACTAAATAAGTTAATGGGTCATTGATAATTGATCAATTACAAATTAATGGTTGGGAAGCTCACCATGAGCACAAGGAATTTTCTGCGTAAATGCATTTGATCAATCGACATTGTAAACAATTCCAGAATAATTGGCGCATACAGTCGAGATTATTTTGAACAATTGATATTGTAATGCTTCCATGAACGCCAACAATTTGTTAGATATTCTAGAATTATGAAGAAGTGAACAGTTGTGGCGTGTAAATGCACCAAGACATTTAAATTCATAAATGGATGGCGTATAATGTGAGGCTTTAAGTACCAAGCTTGATAGATTTCTTGATTTATTAGGTAGACAATTTAAGTATTAGGACATACAGTATAGCTTGGCTGATCTGTGCAATGTGATTGATTTGAATTTAGCCAATAAAAAGTGTTGACACTAATACGTAAATCGAAAAATGTATTGGCGAGTTACTCACGACGATATTGATAAGATAGTACCGTTGCCATAATGATAAACTTTTGTCACAGTAAGTTTAAATATTTGTCAATAGTAAGAAAATCGGTTGACAAATTCCCGAACCTGGGAAGACATACAAATACCAACGTCTAGTAAATAAAATAAGTGACATAAATTTAAAATGGTATTATAATACAATAGTTATAATTTAAGAAATAAATAATAGCGTTAAATGTGATGTTTATTATCTATTCGAGTGTTGTTCAAAATCGATCCAAGTGTAATCGCTCTACCAGATATGGGAAAGCGTACAACTCTAACGAACATAGGCGCATTTTTCTTTGCGGAAAAATTCACGAAGATTTGCGGAAAACAAATACTACGAACTTTTGTATATAAACAACTTTTGTCCGTAAGCTTATGCATAAGCCTAAGCATAATAATAAGTAATAAGCTATGCTATAATAATAAGTATAATATTAAAATTCAAAGGCCCGTTTGTCCTGGAAACATAAATTTTAAATAAAAGGAAAGATCTACATAACACAAGCGGAGGACGAGACAAATAATGATAATAAGGGTTTGGATTTTTAAATTATGTTAAAATGTATGACAGGCGACGATGAGAACGTTTTAGTAAGGACGGAATAATAATGTATAAATACACTCCCCTCAAACGATGAGTATAGTCGAGCATAATAATAAAGAAAGTTTGTCCGAAAGGTCTACACAAAAAGTTACGGTAAATGGGTATTTGTTGAGTTACGCGGAATAAATATCAAGTATATATTAATATCACAAACGTGTTTATGCAGATAAAAATGTACTTTATGCTTATTATTATTGTCGGAAAAGCGCTTGTCAGAGAAATAGAAATGAAGTAATTAACCAGACTTTTTTTTTTAATTCTGCTTACAAAGCAAACTGTTTTTAATTTCTTTGTCTACGAACGAGCGTTCAGAGCAATGGTTACCGTACTAGAGCAATGAATTTCATATGATACTCGAGTGTTACGTAATCTCAAATTAGAAAACCGATTAATACATTTAAGCTGGTAAACATTGCAATGCCCTCTGCCTTTAAACACAAGCCGACGCATGACTGAATTTATGTAATTTGCTTTAAATGTTAACATAATGAAAAATAGTAATTAACAAAATGGTCAAAATACCGCATAATTTTGAAGATCTGAATTATCATGACTGCTATTTATATTTATACAGACCATTGATCTAATTGTAGAAAAAGAAACAAACAAAATAAGATCTACACACACTATTACATTTTTACTTTTCTTCGCGGGTGTTTTGACGGCTGCCAAACGAATGCCAACCCACAAACTTTTGCCTGCACTAGTTCTTGTCCATCCGGTCAGAGATAATGCTAATAAATACATTGTCGAAAATGTATGGTATGGTAACGGATACGCGGACGACGGTACGTTAACGTACATTAATTATCGTAACCAGCTTATGTGTAAAATTGAAGACAAGGTTTACGTAATTAAAAAATTTTTTTGTAGATAAGGTTACAGCAGTAGTTAGATGTAATTTACCTGTAATTGTTAACGCTACTAATCAGGTAATATTATAACTGAGATTGTGCCTTGTTCTTACAACAACTTTTAATTATTATCAAGGTGTTTTGTATTACTGTAACACACAGTATTCGGTACTCGCAGAATGTTTTTTGAGCTAACGGTTTCTGACAGCGTAGACACAGTGATTTGTAGGAGAGGAGATGTTTATATCGACTCTTTCCGGGCCTGGGTTGTTAGTTTTTCTCATATAAAATACTGCTACTGTTTGTCCTCATGCTTCCAAGTAACTTTTACAATGTTTCTTAAAATTTTACCATACAATTAGTTATAATAACAATACTTGTCATTTAATTTTACATTAAGTATCTCACAAGACAGTTTCGAGCTATTTAAAAGACCTATAATTAACAGAAAAGCATTTCACGGACCACCAAACACAAAGAAAGCGTGTTGAATGGCAACCAAATTGACTGGGCAAACACATTATCCAGTGATAGTGACAAAACGGTTTTCAAATATTTAGACCAGTTCGACACATTCCAAAAAATTTGTGGCTTGGAGTGGCTTTTGTATAAAAGCAAAACTTTTCTGTTTTGCTTTCTAAAATAATGGATGCCAAACTTGTATGTAACATATATTACAGAGGTTAACGAACAAAACTCTTCAAACAAAGATAATAGAATTTACATAGCATTCATTTGCGACGCAATAACTTCTATATATACTGAGAATCCGAGTACCCCGCATACAAACTTTGTTTTTTGTTTTTGTTCTTTTGCAATCTGCTCCATCTATTGCTGAAAGACACTACACTAAATCTATTGACTCACTCCGGTCTCGAATAAAAATAAATTTAGTAAAGTACAATTTTGCTAAATTGGCTACAGATTAATAAAATTACTGTGTATAACTTTATAGACTGTAATAAATTGTTTATTTAAGTATATTAATATTAATATTATAAGTGTGTCTAAATCTTTACTGATGCTTTTGGAAGTAAGCTAAAGAATGTTTTTACAGAGCATTACTTTCTTAATAAACAATAATAACTCATTCATAGTAATAGGACAAACATGTATACAAATACCATATTAATATATTACCTTTACAAAATTTAGGGAGTACAATAATAATACATTTCTGCATATAATAATCTAGCGTAGTTTAAATAATAATTCTATATTTACTAAATATGACAGTTGTCACTTTGAATAGCGCGATAAATGTCACTGGCGGCTACTTAACCTATTAACAACCATCCTGGATATGATATAGATTATAATGGAATATATCTTAGAATTTATATGTTTTGAAAAATTTCTTGATAAATAAAAGAGCTGAAATGTGAGTTAGATTGCCATTCAAGATTTATTACTTCAGAATAAGTTTAGCATATATCATCAATTTTGCTTGTTTGCGGGACGTGGTGAAGGTCAGTTTGATAAATCATATTATAAATATTATCATCCTAATGCAATATTAATATGCAGGAAAAAAAAATTCAAAAACTTTGTTGGTCAGAACTTACAAATTTTATTAACAAGACAATGGTAATTGCACAACATAGTAATAGCATTTTCTTTAGCAAAATAATTTTTAATAATTATGTGTGTTTGTTCAAATTTGACTACAAGTTATAAAGTATTTTTTAATTAGATGGATTTAGAAACAAAGGTAATTATATATATAGTTATAACTACTCAAATATAATTTCGCATTTATATCTAATTTAACATTGTTTAATATTAAATTGGTTAAAACATTAGAAAAGAGAGGAAGGTTGAAACCTTTTTATGCGCATTGATGATAAACAAAAATAATATGTATCACTCGTTACTGCAATATTAATATCTGTTTGAAAATTGCAATCGTCGATAACTATTGCTGTGTGATTGCCAAAAGACTTAAACGAGAAAAACAAAAGCTGTTATTGTTATCCAACATAAATGGAAGTGATATATCGTTAAATGGTTAAAATTGTCAGGTAGTCAGCTAAATATTACAAATATATAGGCCGTTTGCAAGCATGGGCACTCCCGGGTGCTTTGATTGAGCAATGTCAGAATACTCAAATATAAATTTGGTCACGCCAAAGTTTTATGGTGTACAACGTTCGTGTTTATATGTTCTTGGTAAATGGTCACGATTCTGAATATGCACGATTTCCCTGACTTTGGTTAATGCTTTCTAGATAGGGAATTGCATTGAAACGGGCAGCAAAGGTTCTGTTACTATAACAAGTTTACTATATACCCGTCCCCTCTCTTATACCAATTGCTAGATTAATCTGACCAATAAAAGCGTTACACATTTTATAAATATATACTTGTTTCTTAATTCGACAATGCATGATACATAACCACAATGTCGGAAACATACAAATTGCCTCTTAAAGGACGTATAAATACCAGCACGCAAATTCGTCCTCCTGCCCCAATATAACACGCACACTTATGTAAAAGCTATTTTTACTGCAGACAAAGATCTCGTCGTCGTGGCCTCTCTACACTGTTGTTACTAGTATCGCTGTCAAACATTCCACCCTGGCATATATCTCGTCACTTATTCCCCAAGAGGGTAAACGAAAAAATACTTAATATTAACAACAAACTCGTATTCTAATTTCACATTTAACTTCCTTTTTTAATACGCGGGTTAGCTTTTCTGCCTTTTTGCAAAACGGATGACCACGAGAAGAATACCTTGGACTCGTCAGGTAATTTTACGTATCAAATAGTGTGTTTATTTGCATGCACTTTTGTATTCACATATGCTTTATGTTTCAACGAGCAGGAAGATGAAGCTCTTATTAACTGGCACCGTCGACTGGGTCCCTTGTGGACTAAAATCTCATCTAAAATCGTTTCTAGAACGCCTCGACAGTGTGCAGATAGGTTTGTATTTGTCTAGTGTCTGTGAGTAAACATTTATCCGTGACAAGATACTGCTACTAAGCATAGCTAACTCACTCCCTCATTATACAAAGGTGGTACAATTCGCTTCGTCCTGGTAGTAAGTAGATTTTCTCTGCATTTAAGCTCTTTTTCATCGCACTTAGTCTTCTTACAATTACAGTAGACGATGCCATTTATTATATTTATATTTTTCTTATTGCTTTCAACTAGTCATTACAACTACGTTTACCGATAACGAGCGTGATATCATTAAAAACTTGTACCCAATTTATGGTGCGCAATGGAGCAAAATTGCCTTACATCTTCCTGGACGTACACCCAGAATGGTGAAAAATGTGTGGTATTCTATGCAAAGAACAAAGGCTAATCGCCGTAGAAAAATGTCCATAAACCGTCTGCTTAATTAATGGCCAGCTGACAACACTAATTTAGATTAATAATTGTATTATATGTCATTCCCTCCCTTCCCCACCCCCTCAAATGTGTCGAACAAACGTTCACCATAACGATAAACGGTTATCTAGACAAGCCCTAATGTAGAATTAATAAACTTATCATACCCTTTTGACAGAAACCATATTATCAAACATCAATCATCGATAAAAATTGTCTGATAAATAAAATTTATGATGCCATTCGCAACGAGTGCTCATCGAATTAAGGTTTGCTAACTTTAAACCCCTTCCTTTCCAAGTTGTGGGGGCAACCACAAGGCTTGTTCGTGTAATGTTTTTGGTTTCTTCCTATTGTTCCCTTTCGCTCGGAAGCCCTCTCCGCCGTGATACAAAATTCTCATGTGGTTTAAACATTAAACAAATTTAGCCGGGGTTACTTTGCTAATGACAATCACATGATTAGAAGAAGGAATCTTAGTAACCTTATTTGTAACCTAACGCTTGAAATAGAAAAACAATAAAACAACCAATCATATATCTTGTTCGAATCGAGATCCTAAGCACACGCCTCAGACGCATTATATATCGAGAGCTCACGTTTTGTGATAATGTGTAACAAACCCTTAATTTGCCTCGCCTCCTCAACGATCCAACAAATCATATTAATAAGAAATCCGCTGCCAATTAATTGTCAGCTCACAACACCGCATCGACTAATTATGAGTTTGAAAAACATGTTTTCGCATCTTCACCATAACAATTAAAATTTTGCATAAACTGTTGGATGGGTTAGTCCATCACAAGAACTCTTTGGCAAGGATAACTCGTGTGTTTTGGATCACTGTTGTTGAATTACAAGCATTCTCTTAGATCCCGGTATATGTTATTCGTCAAAAGCCAATTATACTTGTTTTTTCTCTTGAAACAAAAAAGTTTGCTCCAATTGACCGCAAAACTATGTCAAACACTTTATTAGAAAGGCCATTAACGCTAATATTATTTATGCATAATTAAACGGAAAACTCTTATAGTTTAAGTCATTACTCACCATAAACACGAGTGACGTAATTATATTGTTTGAATAATTCACCGTACCAGAGATACTCATAACGTTCGTATAAACAATTAATAATTGAATATTTGCTCTCCAGAATTTCCCTGCCGATAGGAAGTATGAGTGATTTCCGTCCATCAACGTTGTTATAAAACCAGCAAGTGAAAATTACGCAATGGCAATGCTTTATACCTATTATAGTGACATTCTTCCAACTGGTTCGCGGGTCTTTTATTTTTTGTATCTCTAATAATATAACATTTAAGAAATAAGTTAGAAGTAAACAACGTTTTACCGAATTAGGGGTACGCTCAAATATTATTATGCTTCAGTATAGTCATAACAATTCCCATGCAGTTCTAAAGTTCAACAAACAATTGCTTACCTGATTGCTCACAATGAAACTTTAAAGTAATCTGATTTAAGTTAATCTATTCAACGTCCAAAAAATAATAACTCGTTATTAAAGAACGTTTTATTGAAACAAAACTCATGCGAGTTATAAATAAAGTGAACAAAGTATTGTTAACATACCCTCGATGGCTCGCTCATCATAAAAAGGTGTCAGTTGCTAGCTATTCAGTAGATAATTTGTGAATGTCAAACATATTTTATTGGTACCGAAAATATTGCGATTAAATAATACCTTAGACATGTTGATAGATAGTGGTTTTCAATTTCATAAGCATTTGTTATTTTCATAAAACTACACATATTTAATACAAATTTATCTATTAAAAAGAACAAAAGTGTAGATGTATCATATTGGTTTATCTTTCCTCAATAAAAAGGCAGTAACACTATTACCATACAAGCAAGAAATAAATATCCTGCCATCTCTCACAATCTTATTTTCTTATTATACTGCAAATAAAGAATAAAGGTTTTACGATGTCTTTTTTTCTATTATGTTAAGGTGTCTATTTTCCACTTTTTCATAAGCTTACTCGGAGTCGTCATCGTCATCAGAGTTGTCACTGTCGTCATCGTCGTCATCGTCGTCATCGTCATCATAATAGTTGTCGTCAGAAGTATCTTCACCAAAGACAGTAGTATTCCAACAGAAACATCTCATTCCTACGTCGTCTATGCCATCATTTGCTTCAAAATCTGACCGAGAATAATCTATTTTGCGTGTTATTGTCGTATTTGATTCGGTCGTTTTCTGTTGTTGATTATGTTTTTCGGTTTCGTAGGATGTTCTGATAATTCTGTAATGCTTGCAAATAGAGGTGGTATTTTTATAGTCGTTATTGCTTACTCCTTGACGTTTTGTCTTGTCGTGTTTTGCCGAGTTTTGACCGTTTTCTTTCGATTTATTAGGCGTTCGTTTCGGTCTATTACCGTACACATAATTTTTCGGTTTTGTTTTCTCGATCGTATTATGGTTGCTCTGAATAAGAGGTTTTTTCGCAGTAACGACTGACTCTACCATTGATGGATTGGAAGTATCGCGGTAGTTTGGAGACATTATGATTTAGTGAAAAAAAAAAATTTTTTTGTTTGATTTGGTTTCTCTTTTCTTTTTTTTTTTACTGTTGACGGTGATTTATTTATAAGAACTCATCAGGGTCACACTTGTAGTTAGTATACAATAAATCAACGACATATGCTATGCATAAATTTGGTAAATGTTATTCCCAATATAGAGTAGAACACAGAAGCATGTGTCAACGGTTCACAATAAAGTTTGTATTGAAAAAGATGCCTTTGTTGACATAATCTCTGTTTAGTAATTATAACGTGTCCGTTATTGCAAGCTTAATTCGCTTGACAATTCAACTTTGATCTTTTTCTTTCGAATATTTAGTTAAACAAATAAATAACAAAAAATAATTTCATTATTCTGACCGAATATGTATTTTCAATAGTGTCTTTTTTTGCCAAGGCTCAAGCTTTCTTTGTCAGGATTTCTTGGAGTTCGAGATATAGGACTTTATTACATTTTATAAAGTACTACTTAGTTGTAAAACGTGACAAGTTTCTTCAAATAGAGTTATTGTTAAATAAAAGTTTGAGTAGAGACTACTGAGAAACCATCAATTTTTAAAAAAAGTTTATATTGCTCAAAATAGAAATATATTATAAGAATTGGTTAAAGCAGCAACTGCAATTGTAAAAAGAGGCTTTATCGCGCATTTTGCAGTCTTGAGACAACGTATTTTTTCAATAAACTTTGCTATAAACAAAATTTTACGGCTCTTGTTATTGTCAGAATATTACAAATAAAATTTTCCATCATTCGGTATAAACGCGAGTAAAACATTGATTTTGTTATTGTCACATCCAGCATGCATCTTTGTCAAGACATTCTACTTGGCATAAAGGCTTAATGAGTGAATTTGATGCATAGTATATCCTATACGTTGATGTAATATATATAACGTCATCTCTCAAAAAACTACTTTGTGATGTTTGGCTCATAAATGTTGATTTTGAAAATAAACTTATTTCTTGAATTTACTACTTGTACTCTACGCGATTTCTTGTGATAAATGAATCAAGTCATTCGCACAATTATGTTTTTGTTTGTTTTCTTTTCAAACGACTTTTTTACACGGTTGGTTCACCTGCTAAAACTTCAACCCACTCTACTAATGTGCATGGTTCAAACATGCGATAGTAATGAGTTGCCCAATATAATAATAGTGTGTACGTATATCAATCGGAAAATTACCTTAATTACGAACGCTTGCACTACCTGTCATTCGGGTAACTACAAAAGATGATTGACTATGGGTACCTTTCCATTTAAGCCCTGTCCAATGATTGGCGAATAAGATTAGCAAATGAAAACATATTTGGATCTATATGCCGGAGTCGATAGTAATATTATTCAATAATACACCAAGATCTGGGTATGTTGTTATAAGTAAGATACAAAGAGACATTATTGTCAGCATCGCCTTATGTAGTATATTGTATATCAAGATGACGAGACACAGTTTTTGGTAATTTGAATATTGTTTATTGTAATAATTTTAGTAATTATCGGCCCTAACTCTCATGAGGGCGAGAAGCACAAGGAAATGTACATTTCCATGGAAAATGAAAGTCATCGATAACACGCAGACAAACCACAAGACAATACAAACGGGTTCATACCTTTTACATACGCTCATAAATGTATCATATGTTTCGTCCCAATAGCACACATACTCGAATTTCCGCCAAGGAAATTTTTCTGGGGCTTGCTTGCAGTACACGCCTTTCTAAAATGTCGTTTAATTGGTTGGCTATTTCGGACATTTTGGCGATTTATGATAAGCACTCATTTGAAATTCGTAAAGTCTACACAGTCGGATAATAGTTGTAAAAAAATAGAAAGACATTAATATTAACGTAATCAATAAGACAACTCTAAACAGTTGACAGCAAATCAGCAAAATTAGATGGTGCCCTGCAACTGTGACTGTATAAAACATGTAATACTGACAATATGAAAAACTACTATTAAGCATTGGATAAGGGCTGGGTTGGATGAGAAAACGGTTTATAGGCTTATATGGCAAAGACCATTAATTACAGCTAATTTTGTTTCAGATACACGTACAACAGAGCCTGATCATACCTTGGTATTATTATTAATGAGGTGCAAAGGCATGGAACGTTGGGAAACTGTGTTATTATCACGAGGCTCAGTACAGATTTTCACCAAGAATCTCGCCAAGATGTGAGTCGATTCAACTTCAATGCTATAATTTGTTATCTATACACCAAAACAATCTACCTTCCCTCCTACAACCGCCCTATCCTCATACCGCAAGCGGAATAACGTAATACCAAATTCAGGGATAGAAAATAAAGTATAATATAGATTGGAGAGATAATCACGTTCCAACAAGAGTAACAGTATGGAGCACAACATCACATCTGAACAAATAGTAGTACACAAAAAAACAACGTTTTACCTGTGCGGAGAATCATTGCACAAAAACTGCAACACAAATACCTGGGGTAAGAAGATGTTCACGGGTCAAATATCCTTAATTGGATTTCATATAGCTAATATAGCTAACGTTAAAGTACTTTTCGATGTATCGTCGTTACCAGAATTGGGTTTACTACAACACCACGCCATATATACACAGTTTTTTTTTTTCTGTCGTTTTTCTCGATTAAGGAGGCTTTTCATGTGCATCCTGAATGGTGTCGTTTTGGTTGAATGAACACCGGATAAAAATTTTCACAACAACGCATTACGCTTGGTTTAGGATTCACGAGGATTAACGGATGTTTGTCGTTCAACCCATTCAACAAATCACAAGAACCCCCTTTCAAACGACTATCCCGAAGAGTCGATCGTGACCACGTGAACGGAACGGAACAGTGAACGTGTTAAGGTTAATGTTTCTTTTGGTGACGTATAGGAACATGGCAATTCGGTAGACGTTGGGGATTATTAATGAGCGAATTTAGTTTCACAACCGAGTCGTAAAAAGAAAAACAGTGAATGAAAGAACCGCATGTGATGGCTTTGTATGGTATACTGGCATTATCTCATAGTAACGATTCTTTGTAGTAGTAATAGTACCCATAGTTTTTATAATGCAAATTGAGATAAAGCAATCATGTTGGATGAAAGCACGTTCCATGAATTAATCCCTGTTCAATTTCACCAATTGGCTAGTAATTGGATACCCAGCCCAAGCAAATAGTTCCTAATTGAGCTTTAATTGCTGATCATTGACTTTCTTTTACACAACCAGATTATTCTAAGCGTTCTCCTTTTTCATAGACGTACATGTTGTATCAACGTATGGGTTACGTACTACTTACAGTTTTCTAGATTTTTTTTCATATGATAATGATGGGGGATAGTCGAAAGTATAAACTCATAAAGAGATATTTAGGGTTCGATTCCAGATTTTGTCATTGTTATTCAATTACCAATCCTAGTCAATAATAATATTCGTTGGGTACGTATTAACATGTCTAGAGGATTACAAATAATAATTATTTTCTCTATGAACGACTTTTAGTTTCTTCTACAGGGCTACCATTGAATATGTGTAATGTATCATTAATTCTTCTTGGGCCGTAATTTTTTAAAAGTCTTTGTTAAAATAACAAAATTTCATAAGTAATAAGGCTTTGTTTGTATGCCAATAAAGTCCTACTTTTCATACAAATATTTTAAGCAATAAACCTTCTAGAAATTTTGAAATAATACTAATATAATTATATCAATACCAGTCAGTCTTAGTATGACGGACAGTTACGCATTGCATTGCCATTTATGTGGAATATTTCATTTGTCCCGTGACGATAAATGTCAAGTCGATTACACGAGAAAGCGAGTGATAATCAGCCTTGAAATTTAGTTTTTCAACCGAGTCCCGGCAACCTTTATGATCAACGAGCTAGTGACCTTACACTAGGGTTGAATCTCATAGTATCTGTCTGACGTTCTATGCGTTAATTATAAATGCTAAATTTCTATCTCTGTTTCGACCTGAGATTATTTTTAATAGTCTATAATAATAAGTAATTGGAAAACCATGACCTACTTTAAACGCAGTTATTGGTAATTAATTAACAATTGCGTAAACAACTGACGATTATTTTCACTGACAGAGAGATTAGCGTTTTCACGTCTACCGGTAAATTACCAGGAAAATTAAACCAGGCATTATTCCAATCTAATTGGAATATGGAAGAGCCACTTTTATAAAAATAAAAAATTGGTTAACTAATGACATGAGGGTTATAAATTCGATGACAAATTTTTGGATTTTTTTTATTGTCTTATTGTAATTATCCATACCGCAAGCTTTACGTAAATACCCATAAACGTTTACAGTCTCCGATATGGAAACTTTTTCCAACACGTTCAACATCCTCTGACCTTCCATATTTCCATCACTAACAATATTATATCTTCTTCTTTTCCCTCATTCGTCTATAATATTTCCATATAATTAATTACCCCGCTACGTGCCACATTTCTTCATTGATTCAGTTAGTCATAGCTAGTTTTTCCCATAGATGTCAGCCATTTAACCGATGATCAACATCAAGTTGCTTTATTAAATGATAGTAGTTGTATGACTTCCAGGTCTGCATTTAAACTGGTAAGATAAAAATTGATACTTCTGCGTGATGCCAACGTTGAGCTTGCCTAATTTCTTGATTATTATATGATTTGGTTATTCTTATTTGCTTTTTAACATTTACGTAAATTTTTGTATATGGGTAATACATTTGTTTCACTTTATTATTATGGTTCGGTTATGCATATAAATAAGTTTTCTACAAACAACTTTTTACATTATTCTCTTATTAGAATTTAGAAATATATTTTTTAAAACAAAATTATACGATAAATATAGTTGACTAGAAAAAGTAACTGTATTACAATAATATGATACGCAATATTAAATAATTAAGTATAAATAGTCAACATATGATAAGACCTTGAAACTTCCAACGTTGATAATTACTTGACGCATAATAATCTTATTATCTGCA